CTCATAGATAACATATTTACATGTTTTTAAAGTCATTAAATTCTCTCACATCGTAACCACATTTATTTGATGTCTTAATTGGAACTCCGAAGCAAAGAGTAATACCAAGAAGAATAAATACACAATATGTTGAAATGTACATTGTTTAAAAACCACAACTTTAATAAAGACAAATAGTTCTTATTGAAAATAGGCACAACTAAAAGATCTTACATAGTGTGGCTATTATAGAAAAGAGAAAGACAAAAAAAAGAAAGAATCAAGAACACCGGGGTTATGTAGCACGGTTTTGTATGAAAATGAATCTATAGACGAATATTAACAATATATTCTCAAACAAAAGATATCATAACGACAATTTTGGCTGATATTTTTTTTTTGTTGACGATAATAGATAACAGTATATATAATAGAAAGAAACTGATAATAGCAAGTTTCTTGAGGCTACTAACCTCTAACACACCTTTGTTTAATCAAAGGGTCTTGATAACAATAATTTCAAGGCTTGAAAGAAATATTATATAATCTTCTCTTTCCGATGTGACCAAAGTCACAAAGTCTATTAACTATAATATATACTAGAAAAACACAATGACGAAATAAAACTTTGAAATATTAGAAAATACAATTGTTTTTTTTCGTATTATCGTTGTTCACATTTGTCAAGACCTAAACAATGGTCGAGAATAATTCATACAACATTCTGCAGTTACTTGTGTGCATAATCAGTTTTTTTAAAATTCATTTATTTCATATTGCTTCTGCATGCAATCACAGTTGGATGACTAATATTAACGAAAACAACTAAATCAAAGAATTTAGTCTATGCTTACAGATCGGTGAATTATATACTAATCCAATTTTATGGATCTAGGACAGTTGTTCACTATAACACTTGCTTAAAATGGTGTTGGTGTGAATGAAGCGAAAATCCACAATCCTTTCCTTCAGACCTACATTGCCGAGCAAGTATCCTAGCGAACAATTGTTCTGTCAAGCGAATATCTTAATGAGCAATTGTCCTAGTAGGCGAATGTCTCAGCAAACAACTATCCGGCTCTTGGTTTTATAATCTAATCATATTACCGATATGAGATTATTTTAGTACTCATGAATGATTTTAGAAAAAGTTATTTGCAATCACACCGATAGAATGCACAACAGCTACATATATCATTCATTCAGTGAACTTACAAAGTTTTGTATTCTATTCTATTCTATTGACACCAACCAATTACTAAAAGAGACTTAATTCCTTAAAAAATACTTCAAAATTCAATATTTTAATGTATTATCTATGCAGGAAAAAAATATCCAATGTACAAACATTATTTTTATCATAATAATTTTAATTTTTACTGAGTATTAATTAAATATTTATTTAATCAAAACAAAAATACAGTTCACCATATTATTTACAGAAAACATTTCAACATTAAAATTAACATCTACCATATCATTCATCGTTTTCACCAATTTGTCTTTTTATTTTTTCAACCATTTGTTTATCTAAAATTTTTTGTCTTAAATGAACATTTACTATAGCAAATAATCCAAGAATAAACATAAAAGTTTCAAATAACCAAAAATAATTTCTTTGAACATGAATAGGTATTTGACATGAACGAGCTGTTTTTATATTTGATTTTGAGCAAAGTACTATTTCTTTATAACCAGTTGGTACACAACCATTTGCTTTTGAGCGACGTTCATATGATGTACATTTTTGACATAATATTAAAATGTCAATTGGTTCTGTTAAATAGCATTCACTAATTTGTTGTTTATCATCAATTTTCATTGATGAATATTTTGAAGATGATGAAATCATCCGAGCAAAAAATAAAATACTTAAGATAACAAAACATACAGCAAAAAAAAATAAAATTATGCGACGACGTGTAATTATATCAAACATGAATGTGTATTGAACTTAATTTACATTTAATTAAATCTAGAAAAACAAACTATATTTGATTTGATGTTTAAATGGAAAATAAAATATTACTTACCTTGTAAAACTTACTAACAAATTCAAATTTGCCTTAAATTCTTTCTCATATGATTTATTAGACATCAGTTGATCTATTGATATTAGAAATGACACAATGATGACAGAGACTATTAAGTAGTTTTGAAAAAATTCGAGTATTTTTGATAAGAATAGCTATATTCAATAATCGTTAATATTATCACGTGATAGGATTTCGAACTAGAATGGATATACATGTACCACAACACAAAAAAACCACACGCGCATACGTTGTTCCAATAAAAAGCTTAAGAAGACGTGGTTCGTCAGATTATGCATACGGAAATTTAGTATGAAGCTCGCTTATCGATTCATATGGATAACGGAAGTGTGCTTAATCTGAATTAGCATCGTCATTATATCTCTCTTAGTAGCTGATGATTCATTTTATCTTATTGAAATCTATTAATTATTATTAGATCCTCTGTATTTTAGTGACATCTTCACATCTGATTGGCATATTCAACACAGCAATAAGAGTAAACATGATGGTGTCACTAAATGGCAGTAGTACTCTGGTCCCAGTATGACATAATTGAAGTCATATTATAGATAATTCGATATTAAAAGTTAAATAAATATACACTACTTTTTGCGAAATGTTTCCTATCAAAATTTATTACGAATTAAATAAAATTATATTTATTTATATATATAATTGTATATGATTTTTCTAATACAAAACATATAATGCATAAAAGTATAACACAGCATATGATAACACGAAGCACGAAGATCAGAGTCTGGTTACGCATATTCTGTATTTATCATTAGAGAATGTATGCAGATATATTTTGATTAGATTCCATGGCTTATGCATGTTGTTGATAGGGATCATGACTAAGATTAGACGGACGACTTTGAGCAAGAAAATCCTCGAATTCTAGATTTATGAAATTAATCTTTGCTTTAGAGTATATTTTGTATTCGTATATGCGCAGCCTCTCAGCAATGGCATCTATGAATATGAAATAATTTCAA